CCCATCTGCCATTTGTTTGCCCTGCTCACTAAATGATTTAAATCCTTTTGTAAATCAGCAGCATCCTCTTTACAGTTAGCAACACCCAAGACCTTAATATCATCTTATTTAGTAATTTATTGACTATTCCTTCATCCATGTCATTGATGTAAATCAAAAAGTGCAAAGGTCCTAAGACTGATCTATGAGGTACCCCACTTGCAACATTAATCCAATTTGACTGAACCCCATTGATAACAACCCTGTGCTTTCTTCCATCCAGCCACTCTTCGATCCAATTTCCTAACTTATCTCCCACACCTATAGAGATAATGTTTTTTACAAGCCTTTTATGTGGCACCTTATCAAATGATTTCTAGAAATCTAGATACACCAAATCTACACCCTTACCCTCATCTACATAAGCAGTAACCTTTTTAAAGAATCTCAAAAGATTTGTAAGGCAAGATTTTCCCTCAGTAAAACCATGTTGACTATCTAATAGAATTCTAAACTTTGTTAAATGACTTTGCAATGCATCTTTTAACAGACTTTTCAAAACTTTTCCCACAACTGATGTAAAACTAATGGGTCTATTTTTATCACTTCTCTTGAGAAGAGGAGTTACATTAGCTAACCTCCAATCCTCACATATCCAATCTTTAACCTCCTTCAAAACCCTTGGGGAAATATTATCTGGCCCAGAAGCCTTATCACTTTTAAACTTCCTAGTTTTTTCGTAACCAGCTCAGAATTAATGCAGTCAATTTGGATTTAGGGCTGATACAGCAAGAAAAATTGTTTAATTTAGTTTCAGATTATTCCCATACTTGTAGTATGTCTTACAAACATAGGTATTATTATGAACAATAATGGGAAAATATTGTCACAGAACTGAAAAATGTATTAAATATTTTCTTTTGAACACCACAAAATTAGTAACACAAACATAAATGATGACAAACTGTCAGGAAGACTTTATTTGGAGTAATTGTCCATTAATTTACAATTGCTGGCAAAATGGTAACATCACAGTCGTAATTTCCTTAACTCTAATAAGCATGAAATTTTAATAACAGGTTTTTTTCATTGTTGGTACATATATAATGCTTTCTGTTTCCAGACTTACAATTTTTGACTTTTAGATACAGAATACACAAATATACACTATTGACAATTTTTCCTTGATTTGGTTTTTAATTAAAATCACAATTAATTCTCCATTTTTAATGTAAAAATCTTAATAATGATTTTTGCGAAAGAAATGTTTTTATTTCTTCTGTGGACGGATAGATGAAACCATTTTTAAAAAGTTTAAATCGATTTTCTTTTTTCTTCTAACATCCTAACTAGCAACTTGAGAAGTCTATGGAAGATATGCAAATTTACACTTTAGCTTTCATATGAACATTAAATTTCATGTTAGGGTGTTTAACACTACTATTTTTCTGGGAAATTCTTCTCTGACACTAATACTTACCAAAAATATGTTTTTCAACTCATATTTAACAAACTTAAAATTTTGAGATGTGTTTTTCTGAGTTTTGAGTTTTATATTTTGTAGTCGTATATTTATTATGATGTAATTAACTAAGAAAACTGTAGAATAATTTTAGATAGTTAAACTTCAAAATGTCTTTTACTGAAAGCCATATTTGCACAAAACATGTTAATATTGAATAATACAGAATTCTCAAAATATTCACATATATAAATGTAAAAATTAAACCAACTTCTACATCCACAAATTTATATATCTTACTGAAACTTACATAACTTATTAAAACCAATGAATTGCTTTACTGTGATCAAAGTAACTACCCAAACAAAATTATTGGTATTTATTATTGATTTTTAACAAAAATAAGTATACACTTGACTAGGTGGCACACATTTTTAAAAATTTGAACAGTGTATTAAATTTACACTGACCTACACGTAAAGCCATCATAATTACCAATGATAAAAGTTTTACCCCTTACATTACATGTTATTTCCTTCAAAGCCTACTGAAAAATGTATATATTATATTGTAAAAACAACGACAAAATCTTCATAATTAAATCATCATTATTTGCCTTTCGTTCTTAAATGTAAAAGTGAGTAACAATGCTATGAATTAATTTAACTTGATTTATTTACAATATGCCTATATTTTGCCCCTTTTTATATTATTTTTGTAAGATGCCATTTACATCCCAAAAGTAGTAATATGTTGCAAAATTTCTTAAGCATCGATATCACAAATGTTGAAACTGATAAAATGAAATGTACGCAAGTTCTTGTTACGTGAATGTTCACGAAGCTTGGATAATCTAATATTAGCATGCAAAAAAAACATTGTTCATTATACAATTCAAATGAGTCTTACACAATAACGACATAAATAAACTAAGCAAGTTGTGTTTTCTCATACTTTACTCATGTTTCAATACATATTTTATAAGAGAAAAATATTTTGAAAACAAAGTATGTGAAGATGCGAGTGTAAATATAAAGTAATACTCTATAAAAACTCAGCTGTAGAAGTTATGCTTTATATAGTTCTGCATTAATGTGAGGATTTTTTTTTAATTTGATAGTGGTAATAATTTTTTACTTTTGTTTATTTGTATCCAATTTTAAGGTTCTCAAACCTAAAGTTTAATTTATGTACTCAAACTAATATAGCAACTGTGTCTTCTATAATTTATTTATAAGTAAGACACCACTTTCTGGGCTGACAATCATACCTAAAATTTTCTAATGTACCAAGCTTACTGTTAAAGATACAGTACATTGAGCCTTACAATTCCTGCAGATTAACATACCTTTTTTTTTCCACATATATTGTCAAAGGTAGGTAATTACTAATATATGAAATTACTTACTTATCACTCCTACTGTTGAGATTTTAGTTTTGCTTCTAATTCAACTAACTGGTGTAAAAATCCTGCATTGGGTCTTACATCTCTAATATTTCGTATCATACGTAATGATTCTTCAGCATTCATTCCTTTTTTCATCATGAGGTAGGCAATGGTTATAGTTGATGATCGTGATACACCCATGAGACAATGAACTAATACTTTTCCTGAGAGTGAAAAAGAAAAAAACTTTCACTGTAATCTAAAACCATGCATGTTTTTAACCTTTAAAAGTTTGCATACAGTTCCACAATTATTTCTATAAAAAAGTGTGTAAAAAAACACAAATTAACAGTATGCACAAGCATTTTTTAATAATAAGAGAAAATCAAGTTAATTAAATTGCAGTTACTGAAACTGAATTTGAATTTATGGTCTTACAAATAAGCAATTCAATAACCTTAATACCTTAACCACTTGAAAAATTTACTAGATAAACAAACCAAACATAAATCATGTAATTACAACCCAAATGATATATGTCAGCATTTCATGAACAGAAACATTCTCCTTTTCATACTTTAAAATTCAACTGTACCTAACTGTCTTATGTTGCTGAAAAAGACTGGGTTAAACATATTTTTTGACTTACAGTAGCAGCAGTGTATATTGTCTTTAATAAAACTGCATAACAGACTTAAAAATGGCAGCAGTAGATCTAAATCATAAATATATATATGGAAAATTTAGGGGAAATTCACAAACACTTGAATGTGGTTTAGAAATTTTATAACTGGTCTTGCACATGCACTAAATTGCTCCTCATTTAAAGTTGGACTTCTAGGTATTTCACATAAAATTTTTCACTGGACACTCAGAAGTAGTTCAAACAATGATCTAACATTGTTTGAATATTTTAAAAACAACATATATGCAACAAGTGTAAAATAGAAACTTACACACAGTATTATCTATTGTAGGCTTGTTTTCAAAACTACTTTACAAGTACTATTTCATTAATGATAGAAGATACCAGAGGTTTAATTTATTTATATACGAAGTAAATCATTACATGTATAGTGTATTACAGAATTCTCCCTCACTTAAGTAAGAAATCTCAGCTGACCTAAATCATTGCTCGTTGCCAGCATATAAAAAATAATAATAAATGCACAACTCACAATGTATTTATTTAAGCACAGGCTTAGTATCAGCATCCAACATAAACAAAAAAATCAGCAAGTATTTGCAGTGAGAATGCAAAACTGTACATACTGGCTGAGGAAGATGCTGCTGCTTTACAAAGCGAGTTGGGCAAATAAATGTGGATGGCTTTTAGTAAAAATAACTGTAAGGTAATGAATGAGTTAAATAATAATTTTGATGGAAATAGCCTTAACATTGTTAGGCAAGAAAAGGATCATTGGTGTTGATCAGTCTCTTAAGCTATCAAAATTGTGTGCTGTTGCTAATCGTAAGGCAAACAGGATCTTGGGTATAACTCCCTGGATAGACCTCATTTGGAGTACTGTGTTCAGTCCTTGGCTTCTTACCTTAAGGAGGATATTGAATTGTTGGAAAGGGTTCAGAGGGGAGCTACTAGGATGATACCAAAAGTGGAAAGGTTGTCATACTAGGACAGTTTAAGATCTCTAAAATTGTTAAGGGGATTGATAGTGTTGATGTATCATCATTTTTATACTTAATAGTAAATATGGTAGAACAAGGGAACAAAAAAATATATTTTGGCAGAGTAGAAGTCATCTTCAATTAAATAAATTTTACATTTCTAATAAGGCAGTTGGCCTTTGGAATGAGTTGCCTTCAGATGTGATGGCTGCAGTAAATTTAAGGGGGTTTATGAGAAGCATTGATAAACATTTAAATTATAAGGAACAGCATCAATGGACCAACAAGATCCTTCTTGTTTTTAAATGTTATGATGGTAACATTACAAAAGATGGTAAACAGCTTCAGAGCCAGCATACAAACAATGATTCTGATCTTATAATTTTCAGCCTATTGTGTTAATTCATTGAAATATTAGGAATATTGAAATTCCCAGATAAACCAATAAATATAATGTAGGAAGGTAACTGAACGAACTTCCTGTGATTTATGAAGAAAAGGATTAAGCAAAATTGAAACAGTTGAAGGTATATTGTAATGTTCTTTTAAAAAATATCACAAAATGGAGACAGAAGAAAAATTTCCCAACATTTTTAGTTTAATACCATTATGCGTATATGTGGGAATAAAAAAAAATATTAAATTGGGTTTTGATGTGATAGAGCCAAACTATGGTTTTTTGAAATAATATTACATGACCACTAGTAGTAAAATGATTATATTTCCAACTCTTGAAAGTAGAAAATACTCATTTTAGCAGAAGTATTTCCCATTTCTTGTAAAGAGAGAAACCAAAGAATAAATATATTTAGCTCTTAGCCTTATAAACTGTCCTATTTACTGTGTGTCATCCTAACTTTCACTCATAAAAACATACTGAACTGAAATAACCATCATCACAACTTGAATTCTAAATGGAAAAAAAAGATATGACAGCACACTCTAACACATACCTCCATTTTTTAAAGCAAAATCTATAAAATTGACTGCTTCTTCAAAGTGATCAGAAATGCGAGCTTGTGGAATATCTAGTACATTCATACCAAGGTACTGGATGTTGGTACCATGGTAATAGCTTCTTCCTGTGTTCACTTGACCAAAACCAGAACCTTCTGCAGTATTAACAACATGAGTGATGCCAAATTGTTTAAGGTATGTTTTATTCCTGGCTGCTCTTCTGGAAGTAAACGAAAAAGAAATGTAGGTTAAATGTAATTTGCCTCAACAACCTTTAATTTTTCAGTGCTGACCCCTTCAAAATAAGGATCTAATGTTAAAAAGAGTTTCATATGTTTACTGGTAGTAACAATGTTTTACTTGCTAATGTTTCTAAAAATATTACAGAACTTAAATTTTATAACTATATTTTCTAAATATTGCAGGATGGTTTATGTTCAATGTTACTAGTTGAGATCTTCATTTAATATTTCTTGGACTAATTATACAAGATTACTCTAAATCCTTATACTGATCAACAATTAATTCAAGTTGACAAAATAAGTATAGCAAGTATACTTGCAGGAAAATTAACAGTCATGATTAACACTTGTTGTATTTCACATGTCAAGAAGATTCCGAGTATCTTTTTTAATGTGCTGGCAATAGAGATACAAAATAACCTCGCCTCATCCATGTATGCTGTAGAAAATATCTATACATTAAATTTATATTATAATTTTCTATTAGAATTGTACAAACATATATTTTGCATAAGCATCTTACTCATCTCCTATGAAGATGCCTGGATAAACTTCATCACAGTCTGCAACCATCCTTGTCTGATCTTCTGAAACCATCTGTCGACCCAAAAGACGAGGGAAAAGAGTATACCCGGATAATTTGGAACGAGGTTGAGTTTGAAGAATTACGTGATGGAGGCGGGTGACTGTAGTTGTCTCACTGTTTTGTTTCTGTTGATTTGGGCACAAATATGTAGCCATCTGTTCAATAATTAAACTTGTTACAGCATCAGATCTTTATGGATAGTTTGCGAAAGGCGTTATGTTGAGTACATGTCAAACTAATACTTGAAGCTGAAAAAAAAATTATATGTATAACAGTATTGTGCATAATAAACAGTTAAAAGATTTCCGGGTGAAATATCAGTAAACTATTCACATACAAAAAAAGTTTTTACACAAGTTGACAAAAGGTTTTGGGTAAAAATTTGTAATCAGACTACTTAAAACTAAAGCTTGTGCAATAATCCATTCAGCATTTTCCTAAAAACATGGTGTTTTTTTAACAATTAAAAATGCTAATTATATACACTATTTCTTGTAAGTGTTGACAAATAATATTTCTATAGAGGTCAAAATTATTTGTTAATCATTGTCACAAACAAAGGTCTACTATTTTATTTCTAAACAACTGTTTCACCTTCAGTTATGGAATAAGTTATATGAAATGCATTTAATAGATTAAAACTACACTAAAAACTAATCTCTCTTTCTCCAAAATACAAAGTTTTAAATTACATTCAATGCTGTGACACTCCCCAGTAATACAGTAGTCTAATATCCTTAATGGAAAAAACGTTTTATTATATATATATATATTACATTCATTTACATATTTTATGCCATTCCTTATTACGAGGATTATTTTGAATTGTTAAATTAATATGCAGGTTTAAAACAAACCTAAATCTTCTAAGCTGGTCAAACCTCATTAGATGTTATTAGGATTATGGACAAAAATGTAGCTAATAGCAAGGGTAGCCAATTTATGATTTAATGCATTCTAATCATTACAACTTTTTGTTTTTATTGCTTACTTCTCATTAGATGAGTATATTAAATCATTTCCTGGGTTATTTTCATCTATGTAGAAAGTTTGTTTTCATCAGAAGTTCTTGATAATCAGTTAAAAACTGTAATTTGGCTTCACGAAATAATATAAATCATGGCTGACAAACCATAAAATCTCTGTGAGGTGATTTTAAACTCAATTTCTTCAGTGTAAACAATAAACTCAAATATCAATTCATCAACGTTATATTTTTCCATTTCTCAAAATTTGATTACTATACTTGTCATTCCAACTACTTAATTGAGACACTCCTTATAGCTGAAAATGCTGAGTCAATTGATAGGTATTTCATGTTTAAAGGGTAAGAGAAACATTTATGAAATTTCTGTAGCTTTGTTGATAACATTATGTTGGCAATTCTACAAAATGTCAAGTTCATGTTTTATAGCTCCAGAATAACTTGAATACTTAGCTTTACCTTAGCCCAAATTATCAGCATGTACCTTTATACTCTGTGTAGATTTAAAAGTTATTTACCAATTTAAAGTTTTAGTGGGAAAATTACATTTATGAAGAAAGGAAAAAGAAGAGACTTACTATATTTTCCAAGTTTATACCACTATTATTTCTAATATTTATGTCACTCATTCAGTCCAGACTTCAGAAGTTTTAAGTACAAATTTGTTCTGTCTGTCTTAGACAGTTTAATTAAGATTTGGATGTGTCATATAAATGCAAAAAGCAGGAGTATCATGGAGTGTAAGGTAATGTGGAAGAACAAGGATATTTTTGACTTTTAAAGGGGGAATAACAGCGAGTACATGTATAGAGGAGTATTGTTAACGAAAACCATTTCTTATAAAAATTCTCATTAATCTATCAACAGGGGAAGTCGAAATAATATATATCTGTCTGTAGAAAAACTATGTGACAGCCAAACACTGGTGGCTATCTGAAGGGAAAAATGCCTGGACACTTTTGTAAACTACAATAAACATCACACTGTTCCACTAATAGATTCTTTCAACAGTGATTAGAAATGAACTATATTTAATCGTAAATCATGAAGTATGTTATTATGAAAACTGTCATACCATAGCTGTCCAGAAACTGCTTAGCTCAAATGCAAACAGAAAATCATGACTTCAATGGTGTTTAATGCAGGAAATGCAATACTTTTGAGTGTTGGAACTTAATCTTCTTCATTTCATACTTTTGTTTCTTTTAATATTTATGATAAATAAAACATTGGGAGAGAATATTTTACTCCTACAGTTTACTTTAATTATTCATAAAAATTAAAACTCATGCCATGGTCAAAATTCAATTTACTCAGTACTGATGGAAGAGTTGTATTACTATTAATAATATTATTAGTGTTTTTTTATTCAATGATATCAATTGCAGACCTACAGAGTAAAATATATGAATTTCCTCTACTCTAGTATTTTGTGATCCGAATGTTCAAAATATTATTAATTACTGAATGTACGAATAATATAGGTCTATGTTAAGGCCTAATGATATTGTTCAATAACATATTCCCCTGACTCAAGACACACTAACAAGTCTGATTATTCGAATTAGTTTAGCCTCAGTCAGGGTGTTATGTATCTCAATAGACCTTCATTTCTTACACTAAATACAATTTAAAATTATCATAACTTCACAGTTCTGTGTTCAACAATCCAAATAATCGTATATCTTGGGTCTACTGTCATTGATAAATGACATCAAAAAGTCAAATTAACTGTCAAAACACTGACACTAACATTAAGTATTATTCATAATATTATTGGCAAAATATTGGTCTATATCATTATATAATACACGGTCTTCAATAATATTTACCGAAACTGGCAAAAAAGCAAACAATGTGAATATGTAATTTAAATGTGATAAAAATATTCTCTTTTCAAAAACTTACCATTCTGAAGCTGTAGGCGTATTATGATTTGTATGAATTATTTACACCGAGAAGTAACACCTGATAAATTTCGCTAATAGAAGTACTAAGGTAAATGACTAATACTCTAGTATTAGAAAATACGAAGGAATAACGTCATTATAAACGCGAGTAGCCGATGAGTTACCCTATTGGGTGTTCCTCGCACTGACATTAAACTACCTCAGTGACCTTCAGGAAAATACAGTGAGTAGGCCAATTTTTAACTTTATACAAGGGCGTTGATTCAAACACAAACAAATAATGTCTTTCTGCATACATACAACTTTCACATTTCATTTGTATTTAATTGTAATCTCAGATAGTATTTTTTTCCACTGTGAGAAAATTATATTTTAAAACCCTTACTGAGACATCTTTTGAACTTGTGCTTGCAATATCGCAAAACCCGTTTGTTTGTTTAGTTTGTTTATTTGGAATTAAGCACAAAGCTACACAATGAGCTATCTGGGCTTTGCCTACCACGGGTATCGAAACCCAGTTTCTAGCGTTGAAAGTCCGCAGACATACCGCTGTGCTACTGAGCACAGATAGCAAAGAACAAATACAAATGAACAAATAAACAAAATCTTTATTCACTAAAACTTAGTGTAGTTTATCAACTGGCCGACTTCTTTCTCTGGAGATATTTTCCAAACGTATGCAGTTGATGAAAACAAAATTCAGAATTGCATGAAACTCCAGCTTTTATAGTTGGACCAAAGCCTCAGTGCGGTATCCCACAATCCACAAGGTCATCTTTACCATAAGACTATGTGCAATTATATTCATTCCAAGCGAATTTGTACACGTTTCTATATCGCCTGTTTGTACAGACGATACAGAAATCCACACAGAAACGCTTACATGCTAACTTGAGACTTAAGAATAAAAGTTACAGCCACGGGCGTGTGAGCTGGGGGTGGGGGTAGAGGCAACTGGTCCCGAAATCCGTGCAGACCGAATCGTAGGGGCAAACTGTTTTGGCAGATTCGGGCAAAAATACGAAAACAGTAATTTCATTTTCAGAGGTCAAGAATACTGGCTTACAAATCTTTTAACATTCTTTGAAAAGGTTACTGCTCGTGTAGATGAGGGTAAGGGTGCAGATTTGGTGTATCTGGATTTTCAGAAAGCATTTGACAAGGTGTCATATAAAAGGCTTGTAAAAAATTCTCTTTGTAGGTGTGGGAGATAAGTTAGCAAATTGGATAGAAGAGTGTCTGGATGGAAGAAAGCAGAGGGTTGTTACCAATGGAGTTCAGTCAAACTGGATTAATGTTACAAGTTGAGTACCTCAGGGCTCAGTCTTAGGACCTTTGATCTTTTTGGTTTACATCAGTGACATAGATGAAAGAATGGTCAATAAGTTACTTAAATTTGCAGATGGTATTGTGGTCTTGAGTGTTACTAACTGTGAAGAGGATGCTTCTGATTTACAAAAGGACTTAGATCATTTAGCGAATTGGGCAAATAAATGACAAATAGGTTTTAATTACCGTATTTTTCGGTGTATAAGAAGCACTTTTTTACCCCAAAATTTGATGTCAAAATCTGCTTGCGTCCTATACACCGAAGGTATGAATAATATATATGTATATATACGATATACACAAGCCATGTGTAAATATGTTTAAATAGGCATGCATAGTTTGGTTCAATTGAACGTGGTATTTATAACAATATCAGTTGTTTTCTTTTAAAAACATGACTATTTATAATGCTTCCTAAATAATAAAGATAAATTACAGTGAAAGCAATGAAAATTTTGTAGGTTTTGAACAAAACTAAATAACAGTAAACCTTTTTTTTTATTTACGGTATTTTCTTATTTTGATGTTTTGATCTCTTTT